CTAGCGGCCACATAAATTTATCTGGAGGGCTGAAAATTAGTACACATATGTATTTTCGCGTGTAGATTACAGGAAAATTATAGCGAACTTGATTGGAATTGATTAACATAGCGTTGTCAAGGAAAAACCATGAATTTTTACGAAAAATGCCTAAAAATGACTATGTACCCCCCCCCCTAGCGGCCACATCTTTTGACATAAAGAGCTCAAATTTGACACACTTACGTATTTTTACGTGAAAATTACAGGAAAATTATAGCGAACTTGATTCTGATCAATTTACATAGCGTTGTCAAGGAAAAATCAAAAATTTCGAAAAAAATAATTTATTCTCCCTAGCGCACACAATATTCAACCCAGACAGATCATATTTAGTATACAAATGTATTTTTACGGGAAAAATACAGGGGAAAAAAAGCGGTCACGAATAGAGTTGATAATTAACTTTTTATCAAGTTTTTCAAGAAAAAATGACAATTTTAGGAAAAAAATGTATTTTTCCACCAAAAACGAACAAAATTTTATTTAAAGGAAATTAAATTTATATATTTTAACGTATTTTTACGTGTAGATTACAAAAAAAATATAGCGAGCATGATTGGAGTTGATTATCATAGCGTTGTCAAGGAAAAACCATGAATTTTTACGAAAAATACCTAAAAATGAGTATGTACCCCCCCCCCTAGCGGCCACATCTTTTGACATAAAGAGCTCAAATTTGACACACTTACGTATTTTTACGTGAAAATTACAGGAAAATTATAGCGAACTTGATTCGGAATAATTTACATAGCGTTGTCAAGGAAAAATCAAAAATTTCGAAAAAAATTATTTATTCTCCCTAGCGCACACAATATTCAATCCAGACTGTTCATACTTGCTGTAAAACTCAATTTTTGCGTGAAAAACACAGGGAAAAAATGTAAGCGCGATTGGAGTTGATGATCAATTTTTATCAAATTTTTGAAGAAAAATGATAAATTTCAGAAAAAAATGTATTTTTCCGCAAAAAACGAAAAAAGTTTTTCTACAGTGATTCAAATTTATATATTTTGACGTATTTTTACGTGTAGATTACAAAAAAAATATAGCGAGGATGATTGGAGTTGATTTTTCAGGAATTAATAAACAAATTTTATTTTTTAGATAACTTTCGATTTTTCCTTGACAAGCAGCTACTAGCCTTATATCAATATCTTAAGTTTTATCTCTTTTTGACTTAGAAAGATAAAATTTAATATTCAATATATTTTTAAAATGTAAATACAATAAAAATATTGCGAGTTGAAATAAAATTATGTTTCTTATATTTTTTTAGTAAAATATTTTTTAAAAATAAAATCGGACAAGTGCGAGTTACACTCGCACTGAAATCGAGGGTTCCGTACTCGAAGCGAACTTATTTGGTATAAAAACAAATGTTTAAAAAATATGTGTTGTATGACAACTAATATAAGTGATACAAAAAGGAACAATTTTGTAAAATTCAAGAAAATTGTTCCTTTTTGTATCACTTATATTAGATGTCATACAACACATATTTTTTAAACATTTGTTTTTATACCAAATAAGTTCGCTTCGAGTACGGAACCCTCGATTTCAGTGCGAGTGTAACTCGCACTTGTCCGATTTTTTTTAAATTTATTTAAAATAAAAAATTTTTAATACACTTTATTGTGGTGTGGCGATAAGTGCGACAAGAGACTAAATTAGTCCTCAAACACAATTTTTTGACAGTTGTGTCAATAATAATAATAATAAATATAATGTCCATAAATTCACTTAAGAAAAATAAACACATAAATAATAAAGCGTGCGGTGATGTTAAGAGATGTTTTCGACAGTCAATGGGTGTTAGCACCCGGTGTCAACAATGGTGCTCAAGTATTTTTAATCAAAAATGGCAAATTGCAACATGTGAATAGGGCTTTAATTTAAAATTTGGTATCTGCTACTGTTACTCACGCTAGATGCACGTGTTATTTTCAATTGAAACGAAAATATATTTTAGAACAATTGAATTTTATGATATATTAAAAAGCAAATAATATCAAAAAATTTATGCATTAATTAATCATTAAATACGAAAAATTACAAAGAACCTATTTAAATTGAATTAATACATGACAAGAAAGTTATTTTTATCGATAATATTAATTTACACTTTTTTACTAAAATTTTAACAGAATAAAAAATATTTAAAAATAAAACAATAACATAAATCAAATTTTAGTTACCTTTATAAAATTCCATTTTTTCAAAAATCTGCCATTTTCAAGGAGCTTCTACAACAACTTGCATCAGTACTTGTATCTGCACTTGCTTTGCATTTGATCTTGTATGTGAGCGCGCACATCAATTTTCAGATATGGAATATAGATTTAATTAATTAGTAATTCATTAATTAATTTAATATTCCATAACTGAAAATTGATACGCACACGCACATGCAGTAGCAAATGCAATGCAACTACAGATACAAATACCCTGGCGGATTGGGTAAACCAAGTTGTAACCGAATTGGGTTACGATTCGGTTACGTTTCGATTCCTTGTAAAATATTGTCGTTAATCGACAATTTTTTTAGGGAAAAATAGATTTCTTTTTGTCACAATTAATTTTTCTCATGTCATTGAGAAAAAAAAAATTTTATTGAGAAAATTTTTTTTTTATATATTTGAAGAAATGAAAAAAGTTGTTTTAATTAATCGATCTATTTTTTTAAAACTTATATTCACTTACACATTTGACACTCTATAGTTTAATTTTAGAAATTCATTCACAAAGTAATTTTCAACACTGTCTACTGTTTAAAGCGTCGATTAACGACAATTTTTCACAACTAACCGAAACGTGACCGAATCGTAACCCAATTCGATTACATCTCGGTTTACCCAATCCGCCAGGGTACCGATGCAATTTGTTGTAGAAGCTCCTTCACTGCTTGACACCTTACAATAACACCGCTATCAAAACAGAGTTAACACCGGGGGTCGTAGTGGAATTTTTTTTAGGGAATATCACTAAATTTCCCAAAAAGTAGATTTTACTTTGATGTAATTTCACTAGAACCTAAAGTCCGTTTCATAAATTGTTGCAAGTTTTGAATTTTTGCGCCAATCAAAATGAGAAGCTTACGGAATTGGCCACTCAAAACAAACACCCAAGATTTATGTGAAAATTTAGGTTGAGCACAACTGTTGACACCGGGTGTTAACACACCCATTGACTGTCGAAAACATCCAAGGAGGTACAACCCATTAACATAACCTCAAACTAAAAAGTAGTTTTTAACAGAGAACTAAAAATATATTTAAAATTTATTACACCCAAATTCGACAGATCCAATTTTGGAAAAAAATTATTTTGAATAAAAATTCGTTGTTAAATAATAAATAAATAAACATTTTGTATTTTTTCTTAAAAGTTAGTGAACAATTGTAATTTTTATGCAATTCTTACAAACAATAGCTCATTTTTCTCTTTGAAAGATTTTCTACAATTCTGTTTGTTGAATTTTATTAAAAATATTTTGTTCAAAATTTAATAAACAAATAAAATTTTTATTTTTTATACAAACAATTATTTAACAAAAACACAAAATCAGAATTGTAGAGAATCTTTAAAAGAGAAAAATGAGCCATTGTTTATAAAAATTGGATAAAAATTAGAATTGTTCACTAACTTTTAAGAAAAAATACAAAATGTTTATTAATTATTATTTAACAACAAATTTTAACTCAAAATAATTTTTTTCGTAACAGGAAAAGCCTTAAACTATTGATTTCCCTAATGAAAGTCGTCTGCTATTTTTGAAAAGTATATTATAAAATCACATAATTTCATATTTTTGAAAAATAAAGTAATTGAATAAATAGTAAATGTTAAATATGAAATATTATTTGTAAATAAAAAGTCAATTACAAATTAATTAATTTTATTAATTTTAATGAAGTTCTTTAAAAATTCACTAACTTTAAACTTCTTTTTAATACACATTCTTTAACAATCAATTATTGTTTTTACAGTAAAATATTGAATTTTACTTAAATTTGATTAAAAATATTTTTATTACATTTACTTTTACAAAGAATTTTAATAATTTTAAAAATAATTGAGTTTCGGAAAAGTCATATATTCCCAAGATTCTTAGATCGAATTGATTTAATTTTAAGAGATTTTTAATGGAAATTTTTTTACAATTAAATAGCTACAGATTACTGTAAAAACAAAAAAAAACAATAAAATGCAATATAATATTTTTATATCCATTATTTGACAAAACATAAAATACTTACAGTAAAAAGTCTGGATTATTTAAAGTTTTTTTTATAAAATAGAATTAAAAAAATATTTGAATCATCCCGGATATCTCCGTAAATACATTGATAAAAGTTATAAATAATCAAGAAGAAATTTTTGCATTTTGCATTTTATTGTATTTCTAAAAATTGATTAGATTCGCTTATTTGCTATTAGGGGTTTTTGGAGTCACTAAATATGAATCTAAAATCAGATTTAAAAAAATTCAAACTGTCGAATCCAATATGGCGGACGAATTTTTAAAAATTGATTAGATTTCCTTGAAACTTGTTACTCAGTGAGTTTCTGAGGTCGAATACGAATAAATACGAATCTAAAATTGTTTTTGAAAAAAAAATTTAGCGGGCGACTATTTTTAAAATCAATAGGATTTGCTTGAATTTTGTTATTTGGGGTTTTCTCAAATACAAAAACATTGGAAAATGACTTGTAAATTTTAGACAACTGTCAAAAAAGTAAAATTCTAATGCTTGTGTTATTAAATGATTAATAAACAATAATAATCATATTATTCTTAATTAATGTGATTCTTATAGGCCAAATTTCAAAGAACGTCCTCAAAAAGCCATTCTCATAAATAAAATATTTATGGATACGAAAATAATTATTTTTTTCATCTTATATTGAACAGTTTTTATATTAACTCAATAAAATATTATGTTTCATTTTTGTTAAAGCGCGTACTGAGTTGCCTGTAAAAAAGACAATTGGATTCGCTTATTCAAATAGCTTGGGGCGAAGTAATAAAAATCAAATAACCAGGGACACGATAGGTGATAATAAAATCATCCAGAAAAATGGTACGTATATATACTGTGAAGTTTGATATATATATATACATTATATTGAAATTTAGTAGAAAGTGGCTTCTTTTTAAATTCATTAATTTGCAATTAGGAAAAAATGTAGCAGCTCAATATGCCTACAATTTGATGAGTAGCAATTTTAAAAAAATGCCACCTGGTCAAGCAAAAAGTTGTCTTTATCTATCACAACAGCAGTCAATGTCCAAGTCACAACGTTCAATTCAATCCGATCAAATAGTTGTAAGTATATGTATATGTACATTGAAATTTAATTCGAAAACGCTTTTATATACTCATCACACTAATTGGCGACTAATTAAACAAATGGCACTAGTGTAAATTGACATTCTCTTTACAGGCAACATGTCGTATGGGATATATTTAGGTATTGTAATTTATAAAATCCCATGGTTTAATCTGCATGCTTTTTATTTTTCAGCACTCAAATTAGGAATTTATTTATATAATTAAATTTTTTTTATTGATAAAAAAATTATATCCCTTATTTCAAAGAATTTTTATAATTTTTGTCACATTTTGCTTTTTTATCTTAACAAACATATCTTTTGTTTCTAACAATTAGAAGTTTTAGAATTTAAAATTTATAAAAAAAATTTTGAAGGAAACTTATGCAGATGTGATATTTCGTATATTTTTTTTTTTAAATTCAAATAAATTATTTCCTTTTCGTTAAAACCGTTTACATATAATAATAATTTTTGAATGAGAAGACCTAATACGGTTGTGATGATTTTAATAAATTGTTTAAATTTACTAAATTTTAACCAAATTTTTAATGAATTTAACAAATTATATAAACATAAATTTCTTTATTGTACTCAAGTAGTTTCGAATATATTTAACCTAACCTAACATTCACTACCAACTACAATTTGACATCAGATTAAAAGTAATAATTTTGCTCATCAGTAATAAAATCACTTGTTATCCTTACAATTCAGAGATTGTGCAATGTACTGCTGAAGTCATCAACTTACTATTAAAATGTTCAAATAGTACTTCACTTGACTTCATCAGTTTTGCAATTGTTTTTATTTCATTGGCTTAAAATTTTTTGTTCAACCAATGACATGCAAACATTCACACTTTTCGAGATTGAAAATATATAATTTTTTTTTTTGTATAAAGTTGAAGATAATTTTTATTTCACGTAAATTTCACAGTAAACTTGGTTGTATCTTTTTCTATTGCAACGTTTTGATGCACATAAGTTATATCAAAAAGAGATCGTTTTGTGTATCATTTTTAGAAATGATACACGAAACGGTCTCATTTTTTGATGCAAAAAATTTAATCAATTTATATCAATCATGGCCGAATTGAATCGACTCAAAATTAAACGAATTTTTTTCAGATATTTTGGTAATAGTACAATTGCGGAGACCATTTCACTATTTAATTTGAAAATGAAAATAACAGAAAATCAAAGACAATGTGCAATTCGATAATTAAAAAGTAACAGCTTATAAACATAACCTAAAATGCATGAGAAAAAATTTGTCGATAAAATCAATATAGCCGAGCTTTTTAGAAGGTAGATGGCAGTTTTGCATTTTATAAAAACGATTCAGAAAAAATTTAAAGAAAGAAAATAGATGAGTGCTGCCATCTACCTTCTAAAAAGCTCGGCTATATTGATTTTATCGACCAATTTTTTTTCATGCATTTTAGGTTAGTTTATAAGCTGTCACTTTTTAATTATCGAATTGCACATTGTCTTTGATTTTCTGTTATTTTCATTTTCAAATTAAATAGTGAAATGGTCTCCGCAATTGTACTATTACCAAAATATCTGAAAAAATTCGTTTAATTTTGAGTCGATTCAATTCGGCCATGATTGATATAAATTGATTCAATTTTTTGCATCAAAAAATGAGACCGTTTCTAAAATCATTTCTAAAAATGATACACAAAACGATCTCTTTTTGATATAACTTATGTGCATCAAAACGTTGCAAAGATTTGATGCAATTTTTGGTCTCAATTTGATACTTTTAGGAAAACTGTGTTTGTAACTTTCCACACAACAATTTGTTCAATTTTGGTACAATAAAGAAAAAATATATTAAAAACATCATAACCTTATTAGGCCTTCTTCTCATTCAAAAATTATTCAATAAATTATGTTTTATTGTAAATTTTCTCGAATAATTTTTACATTATTACCCAATTTCTTCACTGTGGCAGAAATAATTTTTGTCAAATTTATTCTCATATATATATCATAAAATTTTATATTTGAGATATCTGATCTGCTGTTTCATCTTCACCAATAAATCAAAACCTGCGTTTATCTCTTTTCCCTTTCCATCTATATATATCTAGATATATAAATGTTCTCACATTTCTAATCAATATATACGTATATATACATTAAATTCAACGAATCTACAATTTCCATTTCAGTGCAATATCGGCAGTAGGTCCAATGTTGGAGCATCACAACCAAAATTACGAAGGGGAGTTAAATCTCAAATTGCTCAGAGAACATCTCAAAATGTCAAACTTATAAACAACAATCATTATAGAGTAATATTGCCAAAACGATCTAGTCATGAACAATCAAAAATTCAAACAAAAATTCCTAATAATATTACTAAACATTTTATCACAACAAATTGTGGTGATTCATCACCAATTAATTATTGTGATTCAACATCTCAAAATAATGTTATTGAAAGATATTTAACACAAAGTTTTCCAACAGCATTATTAAAAAATCGTGTAAATTCATATCAATTAAGAAATTTTAGTCAAAATCCAATTTATCTACCTGATACTGAAAATAATCGTCATAAAAGTGCAATTACTCGTAGTCAAAATATAAAAAATAATTTGAGACATAATAATATTCAAAAACCTTCAACAGCCACTCAATGCTCATTAAGATCAATGAATAGTTTCAGTCAAAATCATGGTGTAATTACAGCATCGGCTTACAGAGATTTAAAAAGTGGAAATATCAGATGGTAGTTTTTAAATTTAGCTTCTCAGTAATTTTTTTTATAAGAATTTCGATAAAAAAAAAAATTTTTTTTTTTTGATAATTTTATTTAAACTCTTGTATATTGTGTATAAATATTTTTACAGATATTTAATAACATCAACATTGTCAATTTATTTTGATTTTTTTTTTATAATCCAAATACTAAATCCTAAAATTTACTGAGAAACCTAAATAATAATTGAATATTTTTATTTAAATTCTATGTCATTATATCAACTCACTCGACATAATATATCATTGCCACTTCATTCACCGACTGATTATACAGGTTGAATTATTCTTTAAAGTTCCTTCCTCTATCTATAATGTATGGAGCATTGCATTTCTTAACATATATGATAAATTTTTGATATATATTTTAATTCAAACCATCAAAAAAAAGAAGAGAGACCAATGTTTATAAACGAGAATTTTTATAACTTATTTTTTTTTCACAAAATCAAAAGAAATAAATTTTAACGGAGAATAAAGTAGAAAAAATTAAAAAATAAAATTCTGTTTGAAAATTATAGAAAAAAAAAAAAACCTTTGCTCAGATTCTTTTTTTTTTCTGACGTTTTTATTATAAAAGCAAAAGAATAGTCTTGTATTTTTAACATCAAAAACTTTTCTATTATGAGATATAAAAAAATTAATATCTAAAAAGTTTCCCTCTAAAGTTTGTGTGTGAAAAAAAATTTACCAACTTTTCAATAAGTTTTTCAAGTAAATGTAAAAAAAAGAAGCACCCAACTTTTTTTTTATGATCTCTATTATTAAACAGTTGAAATGAAATTTTGTAAACTTTTTTTCTTTTTATTATCTTGAAAAAATTTTGAAATATAAAATATAAAAGAGAAGAATTAGGGATTATTTTTTAGTTCTTGGTATTTAATTTTATATTTTCTATATTATGTATATTTTATAAAAAGTATATTTTATTTTTAACATTTTTATAATATATTTCTATTCAAATCTACAATATCTGAGCATGTGTTAAAAAATTAATTTTCAATTTTTAAACAGAAAATAAAAATTAATAATATAAGTTGGAGATTTTTTTTTTGGTAATATGACAAAGAACTGAGAAATTTAAAAAAAAATAATTATCAATCAAATTATATATATATATACAAAATATTAATTAAAATTAAATCTATTAAATATTGTCGACAATAAATAATGGTGATAAAATATTTTTACACAACTTTGCAACACTGAAAAGTGAAAACAAATAAAAGAACAATATAATCTCGTTAGGAAAAAATTTTATTCTTTAGAAATAAAAAAAAAAATTCTTGTAATTGGCGATAAAGTAATTTTTATATATATATGTTAGGAAATAGAATGCTCACGTACTTTTAGTTCAGTAAGTCGATAATTCAACCTCGTTATTTAATATACTGTACAGTTCAATAATAAAAAAAAAATGTTTGAAAGTGATACTTTGCACTCCAAAAGTTTAATTTTTGTAAATTAAACTTTTCTGCCTCCTCTAAAAGCTTTATAAAATTTGTGAATGAAGCATATGTACAAATTTTACTGTAAATTTTTAATTGCCATCGACGTTTTGTGTGACGTCTATTTGTGTACGATATAACATTTTAATAAATAAATGAAAAAAAAAAAATTAAAGTCCTTTCTTTAATTACAAAAAAAAATTAAATTATATTGTTTTTTTAAAATTATATTTCCCATTTTATTTTTATTCTGAATCATAGAGAAAATATTATTTTTTTTTTATAGTAAAAGAGACAAATTTCTAATTCTATATTTTAAATTTGATATTCCATATTTTTGAAAAAAAAAATTTTTTTTTTCATCTTTTTTTCTATTAAATGGAATAATTTACTTTTACTCTTCTAAAAGCAGAAATAAAATTATTATATAAGCTCTCAAAAAGTAAAACAGTAAAAGAAATACAATATTTTAACTTCTTTTACTTTTTGAAACGAGAAATTCTACTTTTTTTCCAAACACATCATGTATTATGTAGCACTTTAATGTTTTATTCATCAGTAATTGTTGGAGAGATTATTAACAAAAAATGTGTTATTGGAAAAGACTCAATTTTTGTTAAAAAAAAAAAAAAAAAAAAAAAAACAATAACAAAAACACAAGTAAAAATAATTAGTTTCTTTCAAAACAAAAAATTTTCTATAGACTAAACAAAATATTGACCAAAAAGTTTTCTATCAACACAAAGTTGAAAACTTTACACAAGTGAGGAAGAGACAAACAGATATCGCTGTCGTTTTCATGCTTTTATATTCTTCGTTATCTGTTAATGTGGGACTTCCCCTCAATATATAAATAAGACGTTAAGCCATTTCTACAATGAACTGCGAACTCTACAAGCTGTATCTCTATCTCATCTCTATAGACGATTCTCAGCCAATAAACAAATAAAGAAAATTAAGATGTCAAAAGAATTTTAAAAAATATCTCTTAAGGAGGTTCAATCTATTAACATAACCTCAAACTAAAAAGTAGTTTTTAACAGAACTAAAAATATATTTAAAATTTATTACACCCAAATTCGACAGATCCAATTGTACAATTTTAGAAAAAAAATTATTTTGAGTTAAAATTTGTTATTAAATAATAATTAATAAACATTTTGTATTTTTTGTTTAAAGTTAGTGAACAATTATAATTTTTATCCAATTCTTACAAACAATAAGTTGCTTATTTTGTTCTTTGAAAGATTTTCTACAATTCTGTTTGTTGAATTCTATTACAAATATTTTGTTCAAAAGTTAATAAACAAATAAAATTTTTATTTTTTATATTTTTTAAAACAAAATCATTTTTTAACAAAAATACAAAATCAGAATTGTAGAGAATCTTTCAAAGAGAAAAATGAGCTATTGTTTATAAAAATTGGATAAAAATTAGAATTGTTCACTAACTTTTAAGAAAAAATACAAAATATTTATTAATTATTATTTAACAATAAATTTTAACTCAAAATAATTTTTTTCCAAAATTGTACAATTGGATCTGTCAAATTTGTGTGTAATAATTTTTAAATATATTTTTAGTTCTATTAGAAACTGCTTTTTAGTTTTGAGGTTATGTTAACGGGTTGAACATCCTTAATTTTTTTCGTAAAAATGTAATTCACAAATGAGTAAATTTTTTTTTGGGAAATTTGTGGAAAAAATATTTTTTTTCTAAAAAAAATTCAAGTTGGGTGAGGGAAATCCAAAATGGCGATTAAGTGGTACACAAACAAACTTTAGAAATGTACGGGATAAAGTCGAATATTTTTTAATATCTTTGTTTAAATGGAATTTTTGAACTAAGTATATTAGGACTATAGTTTCTATTTTTAATTACCTATTAAATACAATATTAAAAAATAATATTAAATATTCGAATTTATCCCGTACATTTTGTGCACCACTTAATCGCCATTTTTGATTTCCCCCACCAAATTTGAACTACCTTATACCAATAATCGTCACCAAACGCAACTGCGCTTGCGCTACTATAACTTTTTCATTGGTAGAAAAAGGCGCTTATATTTAATATGCTTTAACATAAGAAAATGTTTAGAAAACAGTAAACAAAATTTGTTAAATTTAAATACAAATAATAATATTAATTGAGCATATACTTGCTTTATCAATACTTTTAAAAGTTAATAAACTAAAATAGAATTATTCGCAAAATTATTTTCAAAAAATTACCTATAAAGTTTGAAAAATATAAATTTTTTCTAAAAATATAGTTATTTGAAAAAAAATTTCTTTCTGTTTATTCTTAAATATTTTTTAACAAATTAATTTTATATTAATGAAATTATATTTTTCATGTTTATGAGAAAATTTGGTATCGATTAAAAAAAATTAAAAGTTTATCTTTCTACCAATAGAAAACTACATTAAAAAAAAAGATTTTGTTTTTGCAACCAAATCATTAGTTAGGCAATTTTGTTTCTTGTAACCAAATTTTAGTTGGCTGAAACAAAGTCGTAGATTTATCTCAACCAAACATTTGGTTAGGCCAACAAAATTTTTTCGTTGAACATTTTTAAATTCCATCCAAAATTTGGTTACGACAATAAAATAACATATAACAATAAAAACATAAAATAACATAAAAAAAATAACAATTTGTTTAAATAACTCACAAATATGGGTAGTCCAGTGGTCAGAGCTCCCGACTTGCAGTTTAAAAACAGCGTGTAGAAATTTTGCCATGGCTCGGATCGGGGCCTGATTTGTCCCTGATCGGGGCCAGATTATGATTCCTTACCAGGGCCGTGGTAGGAAAATTTCGACACGGGAGAGGTTCGATCCCAGGCGGTGATGAGATTTTTCAAAGTCCACAAATATTTCAATTGCAGAAATAGAAAATTTAACGTTAAATTGATAATAAATAAATAATAAAATAACTAAATAATAAAATAACCAAATAATAAAATAACTAAATAATAAAATAAATAAAAAAGATAAAATAAAAAGAAGTAAGGTAGAATCAAATTTAAAATTTTACAAAAAAACTGTTGGTTTGATCGACCAAACATTTTTGTTCACCTAACAAAAAAAATTTGGTTGAGCTAACCAAACATTTTTGTTATGCCAACAAAAAACACTTAACCAAATTTTTTGCTGCACTCAAACAAATATGATGATTTTTAATTAAATTACTAATTATATTATTTTATTAATAACAATCTTTTTAAACAAGTTTAAAATTTAATTAAAAGTCAAATTAAAATATAAAAATTATTATTATTAGTGGGTTTAATTTTATTATATTAATAAAAAATCATTTGTTTCTAATTTGAAAGTTTTAATTAAAAAAAAACTGATTAATTAAAATAAATAAAATTTGTTTGAATGTTAACACATTTTATAGATTTGAAGGTGATATATTTTCGCTTTAAATTTTAAAAATTGATGAATCTCATATGGTATATTGCACAGATAATGGAACACATCACTGGGTTGGTGGAAAAAATGACACGTCGAATTTTCGTTCAAATAGAGGACACATCGAAAATAAGTTTTTTTAAAAAGAATTTTTGTTTGATAACACTGTGAATGAAATTTTACATTTTTAACTTTTAAAATAATTACATTTTTTAAAAAATATATTTAACTATTGTAGGAGTTTGATAAATTACAAAAAAAAAAATTAATTTTCTATTTTGTACGAATGAGCTCTGTTCATCTATTTTGAGTAAAAAAAGAAATTTATAACTTGACATTATTGATTTTTGATTTATAATCATTTACATTTGTTTTAATTTCTTAAATAAAATAATTAAATATATTTTAAAAAAATGTAATTATTTTAAAAGATGATAAAATAAATAGATGAGAAAAGTAAAATTTTTGTAGACAAAAAGATTAAAATTTCATTAGTTTCAAATGTTAATTATTCGCAAGCTGAAGAAAAGTTTTCTCTTAATAAATTGAGAAAGATTTTTAAAATTTTTAAGCATTCCTGGAATGGCGGTTAAAGTTGTGAAAAGTTTTTTTTAATTATTCACGTACGCTTATGATATATTTAAAGTTATAATACTAATAATGTGAAATGAGTCAAAATACCTTTAAAATAGAAAATTCAATATTTCTATTGTAGAAAGTCAATTTAAGACTTATTAACCTAAAGCTTATGTTATTTAGAAATTAATAAAAATTTAATAGTTTATAAAAATTGATTATTTAAACAAATATGAGAAATTAAAACTAATACCTATTAAGGCGCGTTTGAATCAGTTTCGGTGTGTCAATTACGGTGACCAAAATTACGTGTATTTTGAAGATACTTTGCTCACTGTAATTGAAGCCAATGAAAATC